TAGCACAAAGGGAAATTTAGCACTTAGATTTTTCATGAGTCGAAGAAGAATCACGCTTGTCCACACGAGTGATCAGCTGGAACAGGATGACTGAATACAAATCCCGTTCGGATTTTCGGGAGGTCAAAATATTGGTAGTACCCACAGCTCCAGCAGAGCAATGGATTATCTTTTATGGAAACGTTTATATGGATTATTATCCAAAACACCCACGAAACACACGACAGTCGGAAGTAGTCTCCAAGAGAAAACGAGGAGTTCAAATACCTCGCAGTATCCTCATACGTGTACGCAAGATGTATGAGGGTTGAGTCTGCAAATGGTTGACGCGAATTTCTTTTTCATTTTTCCGCCTTGTCTAGTGACTAGTTCGATTGAAGTCAGTGGGCGGCCACTACCATGTGCAGTCGAAAGAACATTCAAAGAAGCCGAAATTACTTCTCCCGCAATCACTAATCTAATTTTGTCGACCCATCAGCACATTGTACGAAGTACCACTGCTGCATAGAACGTCTTCGAACTTTGCCGTAACCAGGCATTTACTAACGACAGCGTACTATTTTAACCTTAAATCTCCAGACCGCATTATATATATATATATATATATATATATATATTGGAGAGGAAAACGGCACAATGCAATGGTGCACTTCGACGACGCAAAAAAAGAGTTCATTAGGCCTGCGAATAAGTCGGCTAGCTCATTGAAGTCTCGCCCACGTTGGTGGTCGAACCAGTCATACCAGTCATACGCGTAGGCGTCGTGTGAGCCGTGCCAAGATTCCTGAGCAGCGACATATGAGAAAAATTTTCGGGTGTCTAACTACCAAGTGGGCCGAAGACGTCAAGCCCGGCTGAGTCTATGTGTCAGCCAGGGACCAGAGCAACAGACAGGCATACGGGGATGGATGCTTACAGCCAAAATGTCAGTGTGACGACATATGTTTGACTTGTGAATATGACCATGAATAATTCTATACCATTTCTCAATTGATTGCATCCTTAACGTGATGGCTTTCATTTGTACTGCAGCAGCATGCATCCTTAGCGCAAAAGCTATAATCCCATAGTCACGAAATTGCATTCACGACGCCCTCGGCGAATCAGCAGTCCGCTCGCCTCGTTTACTTACTCAAAGCCTCTCTTTGAAACCGTTTTGATTTCTTACACAACGCGCTCGATCGACTTAGGTGGCGCGATCCATTGTTCCGGACATGTTCACTGCTACGTCAACGTTCGTCCGGAACTGTGTTGACTTCGCCTAATCTTCACATCCCAGACCTTGGGGTTCAGAGCCAGCCGTGAGCAAGCTCCTGCTTCCATCCCCTGGTGCTGGTGCGCACCTAAATGAACGGATGACTTGAATGGGCAAACGTGATGTCCGTTTGAGGCCGGCGGACAGCTGACTCACTGACGGCGTCGTGCATGCAATTTTCGTGACTATGGGGTTATAGTTTTTGCGCTGAGGATGCACGCTGTTGCACTACGAATGAAAGCCATCGCGTTAAGGATGCAATCAATTGAGAAATTGTATAGTGCATCCTCACAAGTAACTTGTTTCTTCTGATTTCCTCCAACTGCGATGGACGCGGCAGCATGCACTGAGCGACGACGGGTCACCTTGGATTCGAGGTTCCACAAATACGAAGACGTGTTTCTTGCTGACTTGGTCAACGTCCCGGAGAACAACGTAGTTCGCTTCATGCTACAAAACATGGAAAGTTTACAAACTTCATTTTAGCGAAGAAGAGGACTGGTTTACCGTTCGACGAAGTGGCGCTGATTTTGTCGCGGATATTTGGGGAGCAGACGTCGCTTTTCCACATGCATTCCAGATGTCTTACCATGACCAAGAGAGACAACGAAGACTGGGTTAGCTACTCGAGTTGCCTGAACCGTGAATATGAACGCTCCAAATGCCACAAGAGGTTGGGTGATCAGTATAAGTGTCTGGTCTATGTTTGTAGTCTGCAAGTGACCAAAGATGCAGGCATCAGAACAAAAATTCTGAGCAGAATCGAGCAAACCCTTGAGGTTACGCTGTAAGAACTGACCAACGAAAGCTAGAGAATGTTGAACCTGAAACATGATGCAGCATTAATCCAACAGGCATTCAGCCCGATTAATCAAGACATCATTTGTACTGTCGACCCGAGTCCATCGAAAAAACAACCCATCTGAGTTCAACGCTTTCTAAACCCCTTCCGCCTGTTGCTTTTGCAGGGAACGGCACTTTGCGCGCAACTACCCATTCAAAAATCATGTGTGCAATCGTTGTGGTCGAAAATTCGTGTTGTCTTGCGAGTCGGCCTGCTATAGTCGAAATGGCCGTCGAATTTCGGTGAGTTTCCGACGTTACAATGTGACGAAAACTGTGACGGCGACTTTCAAAGTTGACAGTGTCAGCAGGCGTAAGTACATCGTGGTGAAGATCATTGAAGAAGAGTTCAAGCTGCATCTGTATACTACGTCAGACAGTACACTGATCGCTTGCGACACATGGGGCATACTGGGGCGTCCGCTGCTTGTCCACACCAGCCACATTGCACGGAACGCATCCGGGGGTGTCCTGAAATTACTTGGGGAGTTGCGCTGTCAGGTTAGTTTTCGGGATCAACACATTCACACAACTTGCTTTGTGACAGATCAGCCTGGATTGAACATTCTGGGACTCTGTTGGATGGGGGGGGGGTTGAATTTGCCCGACCAGTCAGTCAGCAGTCAGTCATTTCAAATCACGCAACTTACCTTTGACAGCCTTAGCCCCAGAAACGAGGGAAAACACAACGGATAGACGATAAAGTGCATGCATGCAGGTTCCGTACGTTCGAGATTAGTGACTTGGTTTGTGCGCGAAACTTCCAAAGCCGGGGAAGACGGTCTAGCGAAACGGTTATTGGTAAGAGGGGCAAAGTTATCTACACGATAACACTCGAAAATGAAAAATGGGTCAGGCACTTCAGTCATATGTGACCGCGACATGGAAGCTTTCAGAGACCTCAAGAACCGGCAACAGTGCAGTTTGATATATGGCTAGGTACATTTAGTATGCAGAACGGAAACAACTGCCCAGGTAGAACTCAACCGATTGCACAGGCCCCACAAGTTCCGTCATGCAAAGCAACCCGAAGACGTAAGTAACCGAAATGGCCACAAGCCGAAAAATGAGCACGACTTTACGATCGAAACCAAGTAGGAAAATAACTGGACACGATCAATACGGAAGGCGGAAAGGTTTTGGAGAAACAAAACGGTCAAACGATGGGGTGCAGTTTGGCGACGCAAAAAAGGGTTCATTAGGCCTGCGAATAAGTCGGCTAGCTCATTGAAGTCTCGCCCACGTTGGTGGTCGAACCAGTCATACCAGTCATACGCGTAGGCGTCGTGTGAGCCGTGCCAAGATTCCTGAGCAGCGACATATGAGAAAATTTTTCGGGTGTCTAACTACCAAGTGGGCCGAAGACGTCAAGCCCGGCTGAGTCTGTGTCAGCCAGGGATCAAAGCAACAGACAGACATACGGGGATGGATGCTTACAGCCAAAATATCAATGTGGTGACATATGTTTGACTTGTGAATGTGACCATTACTAATTCTAATAATCCTCTCTGGTCAGCCATGTTTTCTGATATCCCCCAACTGGGATGGACGCGGCAGCAGGCAATGAGCGAAGACAGGTTAGTTTTACGACGGGGAGCGTATACTGCAGTAATTTTCTTTTTTGTACCGGGTCACCTTTGAGTCCATTGTGGCCTGTTGTTTCACCCGTTCAGCAGTAGTATGTTCCCCTTCAATTCAGTCTCACACAGGATTCAAGCCCCTTCGTTTCCACCCGGTGAATATATTTTTCATTGATTTTGTTTACACCTCGCAGAGCGTGATAATTCAGTTAACCTCATACTTTTGGGACTCCTCAATGAGCCTAATGTTTTGAACCGATGAGAAGGGTCAATATTGCAGTGATTGCAATTAAGCAGTTATAACTATGCATAGCTATGAAACCATGTCCTTCAGGAACACTTACAGCAGCACCAACTTTGTCTCAGACGGGAGGAAGTTAACTGTGAGAAGATCGAGCTGTAATGGACTAGTGTCCCATCGTTGTATTCCCAAGGGACTATGAAAATTACGGAAGAATGTATTCACAAATGGCTTATTGAAATGTTTGATTTTTTTCCAATGGCTGCCAAATTGGGGCCTATAACCGCATTTAACTTCTTGTTACCTTCGGTCTTATATACAGTGATTAATATGCACCGAGTCAACCACCTTATACGTGGCTTCTAAAAATCTGCGGCTTCATGTGTTCATATCTAACAGACAGATTGCTGTTTGTACACTAGGAAATGCAGCAATTGCGAGAATTGGATCCAAAGCTGTACAAGTATAGTTGTGAAAGTTGTATATGATATAGTAGGCAAGGTACTTGCTCGAAGCGGCTCAGCAGAATAGTTGCAGGACGAATTACCTCATCTGATGTTGGAATTGTTTTGTGACCTCACTCGGGTTCTTATAAATTATCTCCAAAAATCTTCCTCTTCGTTAATCTCTCTACGGCCCCTTCTCATTTCAACTTATCTTTATTCTTACTGTTTCCTCCTCTACTATTCTCTTGTATTGAAATGATGAGTGCCAGACAGACAATATGTTTCTTCTAATTTCTGCAACAGTGCATCTATTCTACAAGCCGAATACTTCATCTATAAATGCTCAGTTGACATTTCTACGCTAACATTTACCATACCCAAACTCTCCATTGCCCCATCAAACGGTTGAAAACATGGTGCAAGTATGGGGACATAAACAACCCTGGATATACATTTTATCAACCTAGGATTGCCTCAGTTCATTTCATAAAGCCTCGACACAGTTGTTGCCAATCGAATTTACCAGAGTAGGAAACCAGTTCCCTTTAAGGCGCTTATAGTTCCTTTAAGTATATTGTCAGCGTGTGAGTAGCATTGATTTCGTAGACGTTCATCTTCTTATTTGCGTCTGACAGGCCGTCGCTGCGATTCGTATCACAGAGAACACTGCTGGATGCCACCTCGGGAATCCATTATGGCCGGGTTCTACAATGAGTTGTTCTCTCCGCTGGCTTGTCGTTGGTCATCAATTAACAGTACAACTGCCGAATTTTACGGTGAATAGCACTGTTTTGACGTAAGTCAATTTGACCTTCGACGTACGCTTGCTCATTTTGCTAAGCGCTCTTGTGCTGTCACAGTAGGTGCTACTAATAGGACATTTGACCTTCGAAGAGGCGTGTGACAGTGGCTGGTCGTTCAGTGAGCTTCAGTGAGCCCAAATTGAATCCGATTGTGAACCGTGATGGTGGCTGGAAAAATGCAGTTGTAGAATATTACTTCTTATTCCACACAGTAAAACATAGCTCATTGTCTGTATATACTAAACTTTTCATAATGTCCCAGACTTTCGTTTTAGTCCTTAGAGAGCCAGTGTCCAGATAAGTCGATCAGCCATACATTCTACTATATTTCGAGGCACTGAATAGCACAACTATCAACTGGTTTCGCGAATCATGTGGGTTCTTTTTGTCCGGAGTTGTTAGGATGTGCACTACTTGTAAAGCATTGAATCGCGTTTGCATTTCTTGATGGTGCGACGGCTGTGGTTCAGCGCTTGGGCCCCCTCCGGTTGCATTAGGTTGCACCTAATATTAGTTTGTGAACATGTGAAGATATCACAGCCAGTGTGTTTGGCATCAAGCGGTGTTTCAGCAAACGTTTGGAGCACAGTGATGATTCATGGGTGTCACAGTGTCTTGGCAGCGGTGCGCATGCCAGACGAACAAAAATGGGGGCGCACGAACGTGGGGGTCATTCGCGGGACAACACATCAATCTACCAACCATCATCTGGGTTGTTAGTGTGCGCCAACTTGTTGGCAGGTACACTCATTTTGCATTGTATTGAAGCGCGATTCTTTGCTAGGTGAATAAACCGATCAACAATTCAGTGACTCAGTGTTTACCGGAACGGACACCTCGGATTCTATCAACCAAATATGACAACAGGATAATATTGGAAGTATGGTCCACACATGAATTTCATTTTAAAATTACAAAAGTGGTGTATTTTGCGTTGATACCCGCGACTGTTAGATTCCTTGATAATGCTCTTCCATTTGTGAAAATAAATTTGTCGGTGAAAACCGACATCACCTGATGTCACAAGCAGTCAACGAACTCTGTTGGGTGTAGTGTGTGAGTGACGGCATACCGAAGTGACACAATATTTGAGCCGTGCTGTTACAAATGGTGATTTTGAGAAATAGCGACTTGTGACGACGGAATCGCTAAGGTAGTGACAACTTCAGGTATGCTACAGCGACTGATTCCATGATAAACGAATTTTTTTTACTAAGCATGCTTTTTGATGCTGTTAGGAACGGCGGATTCTTCAAGGTATCATAGACCTGCCTCTTCGACCAAAAATGGTCATTGATAACCTTGAGTAGTGGACGTTAGGTGGACTGAAGCCCACACAGAGGTATGTTATTTTTATGGATGCCGCCGCGTAGTACCTTAATGATTTTGACGCACAAATAAAAGCTGAGTACAAACTATGCACTACAAAGTAGATTATCAGTTGTTTCACTGAAACCGAATCTACCGACGTTGGTTGTTTCGTGACTTTTCCGATCTGTCAACTTAGTGGCTCAAGTCCTTCTTTGGCGGTAGATGGATCATTCAAACACGAACTACGGGTCAACATCAAGATGATCGCCAACGTCTCTGTGACAGGGTAAGTCAATGAGGAATTTATCCCTACCCAAAGCATTGGTGTAACCTTGCTACCAATTTGCGCAGTTTAATCATCTTGATTCTAATTCTTACCACAAATAGAACTCCTACTTTCTCTATGACCGCTCAGTTATCCCCACTGGTACTTCCAGTCCCGTGTCTACTGTTCTTGTTTTCTATCCGACTTCCGTGTAAACCATACACCAAACGACGACTGAGCGGCGGCTGGAGCTGATCAACCATTCATGTGTCCATCCGTGCCAGAGGCAACGCAGACAGACATGAGCGATTTTCGCCTTTAGGTGAGATAGATTACATGCTGCACACCAGCAGTTCAGTACGTCCGCTTCACAACATACGCTAAGAAAACAATGGAAGCAGTCTGCCCTAACTCGCCCATGTTACTAGCACTATCCGGCTGCATGGACTGTCCTGGGGTGTTTATTGTAGAGTTCCTCCTCTGTTTACTTAACTGGCCTCGTCATCCCTAACTTTGTTAACCTGCCAAGATAGGGAGTCCCTGTTAAACCCCTGATAAGCACATCCCCTCTCCCATATCTTTGACCGACCACCTGCACAACCGCTTACTAGACATGGCCCCATCATCAACAGTGTTAAAAGAATTGGTAAGTGCTGGCTAAAAACAGGTAAGTTAGTTAGATTCTAATCCGTAAGTTTACTTTCTGGTACCGAAAAATAACTTAACTGGTAGCGCTATAGGCGCATCCTGTACACTAGTTCATGAGATGGATTTTTCACTTATGTAAAGGTTCTTAGAACATTGTTCAGATGATACGGAGGTCTAAGGCTCTTTCACTAGTCTCGTGTTTCCTCGAATGGCATGTAGCCACGAATTGTTTCTGAACCTCACTTCATTTCAGCCTCCACTGAAAAATCTTGTTGGAAAAATAGTGGGATTGACTAGGCAGTTACACTTAATTCCTTTGCTTTATGTCAACTCAAATGATTGTTTTATGCCGATGTTTTTTTTACAAGTAGAGATAAAGTCTTTAACCCCGCCCTCTACAAATCTGTCAACGATTCTGACAGTGTAATAACAGCAATAATGACAACAAAGTTAGTAGGCAGCACGAAGTGTCCTCCGAAACGATTCTACCGGAATACTGACTGTCCCCAGCCCAAAGTTATTTGTAAGCCTTGTTTGGCTTTATCAGTCTTGTGTGGGAATAGGTTGATTGCAGATTACTGTTCGTATTAAAACATTTTGTCCTAATTTCAAAACACAATAGTCTTGAAACGCACCAGGCAAATCATTATTTGTGTTTATTGATAACATCAGCGACGGGTACACTGCTACCCTCAGTGCTCTGGAGGCCTTCGACGACTATATAGCTGATTCGAGATGGCGAAGTCGGATAAACAGCAAATCTTCCATACACAAGCTTGTTTAACTAGAAACGTTCGCGATCCATGGTTTGCAATAAAAATTACCCAACAAACGATCCTTTGCGCAAAGAGAAAACGTTTAATATGGTTCCTGTTTCCCACTGAAAATAAACGGTGTGATTTTCCAGTCACACGGTATGAAGTAAATGTGGGTTAAGTGAGATTGCGTGTCGCAGGCCACCAATACAATACGTACTTCGTATGAACTGCTTGCAATGTACAGTAGTTCCGATGTCTGGATAAACTTTCATTCTCTAATTTCAGAATTGTGGAACCAAATACTGTCTATTTTTCTGGAAACGTGACGGACGGCATTAGCTCCATCTCGGCGGAAAATCAGATGAGCGATTCTCGACTGTTGATCAGATTCACCGTAAGTCATCCACTGACTTAGAGAACTCCTTCTCTGACCAAAATTCTCAATTTATGAGCCCAGTATGCTTTTGTGATTCCTTGAGATTGTTGATCCTCGAGTGAAGCATGTTAACTACCACAGTTTCGCATCATTTTCCGATCCTCTGGATGTTGACAGACTATAGGAACTTAAGCTGATCACAACACTTCTATGTTTTCCTGCGTTCGAATGATGGGGAACGCAGTGAAGCAGAAGTGTATTACGGGTAACGAAGTGAACACCGCATGTCGCACGGGAGGGAGGGGTTGAAAAGTAAGTCAGCGCAAACGCAGCGTAACCGGGTCGTTATATTCCACGTTTGCTGTGAGAGTGGTGAAATCACCACTCATTTGCATATGGCTTAAATTACCAGTTGGAGTGGATTACTGGAAACTATCAAGAGTGCCAGTGTTTACGTGACCAGATACTGAGGAGAAAGCGAGACATCTCATCACACATCGTAAGCAGCCAACACCGGGGCAGGAACAGCTGTCTCATGGTTTGCAGGCAAGGAGGGAAAATTAGTTCATGTGATATTCGAAACGGCTCTATTGATCACCTGGTTTCAAATAATTGACTCTAATGCTTTGGGTCTCTATGTACATGATTCCGGCCACACAGTATTTGGTGAACCATTATGAGTTCGCTCCGTAGATGTCAAAGGTATGCACCAATCCTATTTGCTGATGGGGAACATGACGCAGCTTTTCGGCATGTTATTTGTCCGATGTCCTGAGGCCTTTCAGTGTAGCGAGGTCCTTATCCTGTCAAGGATTCCAGACTTGGGCAACATACACTACATGCAGGCGCAAGTAGCTCTTGAGCTACACGGACTAGATGGATGAGTTTAAAAAACTCGATTGATTTACCCAACTGGCGGGTGATTTGGTTGCCCCTTTGCGACCCACCCGCACTACGCCGAACGCTCGGAGTCGCCAATACGAGCACACCGAGGTGACATTACTGAAAATAAGTCTGCAAGTTGACTTCCAGATCAATAAGTATAGGCCCGTTGGTCTCGTATCTGGGCAAGCTGATACCGGGCTTTGATTGTCTCCTATAAAAGGCATCTCATTCCATCCGATCAACTACAGTCATTAACCAGTTCATAATACTCAATATACCACTTTCGGAACACCCACTTAAATGTGATTAGATAGACAGACCAAATTTAAAGCAGTTCCCTCAGAACGATCAGAGCACCGAAACTTGACGGAGACTGAAAATATCACTTGATCTAATTAGTACATTATGTATAACTAAACCCAAAACGAGCAAGCCGAATTTAAAACGGAGGATAGAATAAAGCTGGGAACAAGAAACACGAGACCACTACCAGATGCTCGACCTGACTGTGTTAAGTTGGGTTTGCAGTCACTCTTGGGCGGGTTCCATGGTAAAATCGGCACGTCTCCATACCTCAGTCAGATCTTCCTTGTATATGCACCATGGGGCTTTGTGCAACGACAAATTTGACTACCGGACCAGAATCACAAATTTACCTGCCACTGCGGCTGTGAAAAGCGCTGGACCACTTGGACGGCTTGCACTGCATTACTCACAGATTCTCGCGTTGTGCGTTGTGTAAACAGTAGTAATAAGATAAGCATGCATGCGAATGTGAGCAACGATTGTTTTCGACTTTGTAAATACTCCGTCAATAGGACCAGATAAGAACAAGTGAATTCTCATGTCAGTGCGTCAGCGTTTTGACAGGGTCTGGACACTGTAAACTTGTGATAAACCAGTAGGTCACACACGCAAACTATGACCACCTGGAAAATGCAAAACCACTCACTTAACCAACCTTACGTTACGGACGTATACCAGGCGTAAACAGGCAAGTGACCGGGCTGTAGAAGGCCCAAATAGCGCTATCAAGAAAATAACAATTCCCATCCTGGCCTGCAAAGGTTAGCAGTTACCTGGAGCCAGTAAGCGAGGTGTTCTTATCAGCAGTGTGGTAGACCGTAACCACCTGAGGACCTACTTGTCATCACACAAACAAGGGGACCGTGGTTGGTTACGCGCTGTACCACCTCACACACCTCACATCCGGTGTAACTCCAAAGGAATAAAACCGCAAGGCATGTGGATTGGATTCATGACTGATTCGGAGCCGATTCCTTTACAATGTCTCAATGAGCATTTGGGACAGGGCTTGACGCCTTGTGTCTCTACATATAGTGGTGGCTTTGAAATTGATAACGCAGCGGAAACTGGGCATTCCGTCGCCTCCAGCAACGAATGGCACCCACACAGAACAGTAACAGAGATGGCATCATCATATGAGTAGGCACGTCATCAGCATTCACGTCAAGCATGAGCAGACGTGGTATCTCAAATGAAACTAAACATCCCACGCGCAATAGCACAAAATCATCGTATTTATAGAGTACAGCTTGCACGCTATTGCAACTACTGTGTCGGTGGCGCTACTACTCAATTCTGCAGGTAGCGCTTTTTCGCTTCTGCACCGCATAGTCGATCACATTGCCCGCTTTCCTATCGACAAAGGCTCTTCGTGATCACGTCGACGATTCGCAATGTTGCTCGACTGACACACAGGTGCATCGTTTGTATTCATCCAAATTTGTGGTCTTCGTATCAAGAGTTTCCTTTCCGTATGTGCTAGCTATTTTTCATGCACCTGTGTGTGGAGCATTGTTGATGCGGCCGCATTGTTGTAGACGATTGGCCACCATTCCTTCGTAGCAATTCAAGAAATAAACTGTTTATTCTCGATTACGCGAGGCACGTCTGCACAGGCATGATCATGGTAAGAATATAAAAATTGGTCAGTTAATGTAAATGGAACAATAGGATTGTCACATATGTTGACATATACATGTATATATGTGTGCATGTAGGCCTGTGTAGCTGTGATTATGGGAGTTACAGGTGCTTTCTTGCACTTTGGTTCGGGTTTGAAAGTGTCGCCAGTGCTAAAGGGATGCTTGATATCAGTGGACTTGAAGCGCTTGTCCGGATAAGCAAGGGGTGACTTTAGTTGGTGGCGAATCACAACCGCCACGTCACGATGTTGTTAAACAGACATTTGTGGCTTTTTATGGGGAGAACACTTTGCCAGGCGAAAAACCACCATGTCCTGGAACACTACCGCCGTCCAACTATTTGCTGGAACGGGGTAAACCCAAACCACCCAGCTCGTAGTAAACTCACCTTGATCAGACCCTGATAGCGTTGATTCTGTTTGCAAACATTCGGCTATCCTGCACTCAGATAACCGCGCAGCAGGTGTTCCGGTAGGCTGGTCGCATCCACTCGGTGCACATGACCCGGTTAAGGTGTCGCAGCCAGTAACATGCAGTCCATTCCACATATACACCCTCTTGCGAATCACTTCAGTACCACGTGCTCTGTTCTACAAACGAATGTCTAAAATACACCACAAGCTTTGTTGAAGAAATGGTTCCAGATAACGGATAACTTTCTTGTACTGGTTCATTCTTTGTTGTTGCAAAGGAGAAAAAACCGCAACATTGATTTATACACCATCAACTTCATCCCCATCATCAGACATCGGCTCCTCCTCGCTTGGCGATAACCACACTTGTCTTTGCCACATGATTTCCAAGCTTGCGTTTTACCCTTCAGTCCACTGATGGCTTACCTCCAAAGTAGCAAAAGTCTAACTTGTTTTGCAACATTCCGTCGTAAATCCGAATTCACGAACGGTACATTGATTCCACTCCGAATGGCGGATAAAGAAGATGACGAGTCCAAACTTGAACACCTTTGTTATACGTTGCAGCTTATCTTCGATTTGTGCAAACAAACGCACATCTGTCTGTAAACAAGAGCATTTGGATGTTTGTCTCATGCGCTAGGATTCTCGCTCCGAAACAACCGACATCCAGTTAACCCGGTATCTACGCGGGGCTTCGAGCAGTCATCATATCCAAACGAACTGAGTACTTGACAGCACACCAGTCACTTGATGGTTCTTGTGACTTGAGGTTTGGATACAGTCTTGTCTCACACTACAGACAACAGCAGAGTCATCTGAGGTACATCCACGCAGACACACCTTGAAACACAGCCACTATAGAGAACTTAAACCAGACCAGGGCATGGAAACATTATAGTGTTGCTCATCCCAAAACTGGCACCCCACGACCGCGGTTTCGTCCTGGTTGGGACTCATCAGGTGGAGATAGCCTGAGTTGGGCTGGAACTCAGAGCCTAGTGGCTCATGGTTGACGCCATAATCACTATGCCACCGAGATCCGCGAGCAACGCTTGGTACAGCGGAAACGAATTCAGTTGGACTTGGAGAATCCGCTGTGTGGTTGGGTTGCTACAAGCAACCTCTTCAGACCAGGGCATCTGAATTTGCCCAGCACCAGGCACAATGCCTCTTGCTTCATCATATCGATGCCACTTTAAATTCGACGAACAGCGATTGTGATTGGTGGTTTCCCTCACGATAGTTCTGCAGTTGACGGGTTGTAAACACAATGTTGACTGCATCGGGCTTAGCGATCTCCGCATCGTCCTTCAGCCATGTCGGCTTCCAGAACTTGAGCGACGTGACACGTGAACTCGATGCAGCTTAGCAAGTTGATACCACTAATTTGCAGTGGTTCTCGTGCTCCTGTATCGTGATATAACGGGTATCTAAATCCTGCTGAAACATGTACTTCCATCAACGCTGGGCCTAAAGTACAACTTAGTTACGTGACTCTGGCCGTGAACTTCACTATCACTAACGACAGTGGTTCTTGTGTGTGAGGTCACCGATTGTGTGACGCGGCCCGTCTAACACGCTCCTGTAGCCTACCCGATGTTATCGGTTCACACGCCTATTTCGTGTGACTTGACGTTGGTCAATACATTATTCGGTGCGATGAATTCGTTGTGCCGACCGCTGTACGCCTCATCAATCGAAGTTATAACCATTCTGCCAAATCGGTGACTGCGCTGGACATTGGAAACCCGTCGCTCCACAGTGTTTC